CACATGAAGGTAGAAAGAAAGACAGGAAGGAAGGAAGGAAGGAAGGAAGGAAGGAAGGAAGGAAGGAAGGAAGGAAGGAAGGAAGCAGGGAAGGAAGAAAGAAAAAAGGTAAGGAAGGAGGGAAGGAGGGAGGGACGGAGGGAGGGAAGGAAGGAAGGAAGAAGGAAAGAAAGGATGAAGGAAAGAGGGAAGGAAAGTAAAAGAAGCTTCACTGTCAAATAAGAAAAAAATCAAATCATTCATGAGGAAGAAAGAAAATTTTTAAAAGCTATCAATTAAAATGCCTTTAAAAAACTTGTTCTGAATTATATTTACATAGTCAAGAAAAAAATCATTACTAAGGCTTATTCTAGTTTCAGAAATCCACAAATATGAAGAGTTATTGCTGTATTATACATTTTACTTAAGTTTGAATCTTTTACCAAAATGTTATAAAGCTATTTTTAAATATAATGAACTATTTTCTCAGTTGTTGATTTACACAATTTCATTTCAGTTAAGATACAATAATTGCCATTTATTTCCATGATATGTGTTTGAATGTCTTTCTGATTCTTGCATTTCTGTCCAGTTTATAAACAATAAGCAATTGGGATAATTTTCTATTTGTTTCCTTGTAGAATTGGCTTATTGGTATAGAATATTAGATGTTCAGAGAATGACATTTTACCTCTAATCAATCTATACAAATAAACTAAAAATATCTGAAAATAAATAATATTAAAAAATTTTAGAAGCCAGCATGTATTTAAAAATAAATTTAGAAACAAAATAATGAAATGCTTTTAGATATATCAACAAAGTTTAAAATACCACTGGGTTTGTTTGTTTGTTTTGTTCTGTTTTTGGTCCCAGGATTTTAAATCTTTGTTAAGGAGGTGCTTTGCCATTTGAGTCTACTTGGTTAATACTAGATCCTCCTATTTGTGCTTGCTGTATTGTTACAATGTTACATGTAAGGTACCACACTTCAACCATTGTTTGAGATGGAGCCTGCTCAACTTGGCCTTGATGATCTTGAAGTATGATTCCTCAATCTCTGTCTTCCAAGTAGCTGATATTACAGGTTTGAACTACTATGTATGGTAAAATATGTGCATCTTATCTGCACAAAGGCCAACACATAAAAGCAGGACTTAGTCATATTGACATAAATACACACCTTTTCTTATTGACATTAAGTAAACCTTTACAGAATAGAGGCCATAGCCAAATTACTTGTTCTTACTTGTTTTCATTTTAAAAGTGTAGGCTATGCTTGTTTAGTTCTTCATTCATTATTTTTAATTCGTAAACTTAATTTTTAATTAGAAAAATGCATAGAAAAGAAAATTAATTTCTTCTTGGTAAAATAAATTAACTAGCATGTTTCAGAAATGGTATATTAGAAGAATAAAGGAAGAAATATCATATTTCAGTATCAGTTTATTGTTTGTAGAGCAATAAGACAGGGTCCTATGGGCACAGTAAAAGTGTTTTTCAAGATGTGGCTTATCAGCATGTGAATATTGTAACATAATTTTCAATCTGTATAGCTCTGATAGTTCACTACTGAAATGTCAAACATCAAAATTTAGATCAAGCTCCAGACAAAGCAGTGCATTTGTACTTCTGCATATCGTCTTTGCCTCTGTCCTTATAATCAAATCCACACGTGTTGATTTGCTTAATTACAAATCAAATGATGTTAGGCATTTTCTTCCATTTTTAAAGATAAGTATTTCATTTCATTTGGTTACATTCTATTAATAGTAAACTGGATTGTTCTGTAGCTTTATACTGACAGTATACATTTTTATTTTTTAAAAAACGTTTTTGTGGGGCTGGGAAGGTGGCTCAGTGGTAGAGTGCTTGCCTTGCATGCATGAGGCCCTGGGTTCGATTCCCCAGCACCACATAAGCAAAAAGAAAAAAGCCAGAAGTGGCGCTGTGGCTCAAGTGGTAGGGCACTAGCCTTGAGTTAAAAGAGCTGAGGGACAGTACCCAGGCCCAGAGTTCAGGCCCCATGACCGGACCCCCCCAAAAAAACAAAAACATTTTTGTGCAGATATTGAGTCTTTAACTCAGGGCCTCATTGCTGCCCCTGAGCTTTTCTGCTCAATGCTAACATGGTACCACTTGAGCCACAACTCTACTTCCAGCTTTTTGGTGGTTAATTAAGGATAAGAGTCTCACAGACCTTCCTGCCTTGTGCTGTCTCACACTTGACCCTATAATCTCAACGTCCTGAGTAGCTAGGAAGATAAGTGTGAGTCACTTAATATTGATGGCACTTTACTTTTATATTGTTCTGAATACTTTGTTTATATACTATACATGTGTTTCTGCAAGCAATTATATAATCCACTCTAGCACATGAACAAATCCATAAGTCTACCATAAAGTCTAGATGTAGAGTTTCTAGTTCTTCTTGTTGGTATTTTATATTACAAAAATCTGCCAAGATAGAAGCTGTGAGTCTAAAAACCTGAAAATCAATTAATTAGAAAAGATTGGATAAATTAGACCACTGAAGCAAAGCTTCTCTCAGATTTGATCTTTTTTTATTTTTCAAATATTTACGTTAAGTTTCTTCTTGATTTCTTTAGAAAAATCACTGTGAAAAGTTGTGTGGTATGATTTAGAGAATGGTGTCACATTTTTCTTTTTTTTTGGGGGGGGGGGGTCCGGTAGTGGGGCCTGAACTCTGGGCCTGGGCGCTGTCCCTCAGCTCTTCAGCTCAAGGCTAGCGCTCTACCACTTGAGCCACAGTGCCACTTCCGGCTTTTTTCTTTTTGCTTATATGGTGCTGAGGAATCGAACCCAGGGCCTCGAGCATGCAAGGCAAACGCTCTACCACCGAGCCACCTTCCCAGCCCCAATGGTGTCACTTTTTGACAAAGGAAAAATGTACAGTTTGGGAATATATGTAGTGGAAATTTCCACCGAAGATGTAGCATTTAAAACACATTTTCTGAAATGGACAGGGTTTTTAGAAGCAGGTAGCAGAAAATAAGGTAAAAGACAGATGTGATTATTGTAAAAAAAAAAAGGTATAAATATGAGAAAATGGAAGGTATGTGTATCTAACCATATTGTTAAGATTTGGTTAATATTAATTCTCCATGCACAGGTGAATATAAACAGGCAGATGCGGTCAGATTCTTCTATGAGTTGGCACTTACTTGGAGAGTACATGGTTCCTCCTTGACTCCTAATAGTTATGAGGACTTTAGTTTTTTGTATCTATATTCAGAGCAAGAAGAAAGCACACTTTTATAGCTATCAAAACATTCACAATTTTCACAAATTCATATTCTTCATTATGGATTTCAGATAGTTGAGAACCTAGCCAAACTCAGCAGCAGAAAGCTGAAAGTCTTTTATAACTGTTTTTTTCCCCATCTTAACAGAGAAGATTTAGATATAGAGACTTTGTTTCCTAAAGTTGGAGAGCCAGAAGCGGCAGTCTAAGCTGAATTTCTTTGAAATAACACCAGTGCTCCTCAGGGCCCACCGAAGCGCTGCTATCTGAAGACCGGACTTCTGGGAAAGGGGGCTTAATTCTGATTCAAAGACATCTCATTGTCTCTGAATATAGAAATCGTCTCACCGGTACCCTGTCCTTCATAATCTTTCACAAAGCAAATGACAAGTACACAGCAGAAGAAGATCCAATAATACTCCAATGTTTATGTACCTCATAAACAAATGCCAGAGCCCTGCAAGCCCCTCTTCCTACCTTACAAATCCCACACAAGTCAAATTGGAGGGACCTAGTTACATATGGAACCCAGCTGCTAAGCAACCTGAAAAAGGTACCTGTAAGTTCCAACACATGAGAAATGTACTTATTATGTTGCCCATGTAATTGTAACCCCTCTATAAGGTATTTTCACAATAAAAAATGCAAGATTGATATTAGTTTAGTAATAAAGGATTTTTAGAATGTGAATAAAAGAAGGAAATACCAAAGCAAAGACAGGCAACTGCCAACTCTCTGCTTTGATTTTATTTTATCATTTGAATCCACAGATTCTATTCCAAATATTTTCATGCTTCTTCCATTTCACCTAAAACATTGTGTGAGTTGGAATTTTTCAGTGCATCATAGCTTTTGTGAAGTCATTAACTACCTGGGTCTCAAAATTTGCAAGTCATATTATACAGGATTTACCTTTGTTTTGTCCATGGAGACTGCAATTTAATGCCCATATTTCAGTTTTTCTTTCCTTAGCAGATTTTACAAGTCACTTGCTCTTTTCCGAGGATATATAATGGCAGTATTGTCAAGTTCCCTTGCATTCAATTCATTTGATTCAGAAATGTTCTAATTTTCTGTTGGAGACACAGTTGATGTGTTTGTTGGAAGCATTTTCATTTGTCAAAGTCCTATTCTTTGTGTATGCTTTCCCCATCTTCCCATTCCTTCACCTTTCTTCCTCACCCACATCTCTTTCCACATGGCAAATAACAAGAAAAGGATTCAGGACAAATTCAAAAATATGCAGATAGTTCAACCAGTATTGTTCATATACACAAATGCAATTATCTACTTTTGTAGCATGAAATTTGAAGCTTACTAGAAAGTTTGAAATTTAACAGATACATACCATAAAAAATAAACTTTATATTAATTAGGACTTTGTCCCTCTGTACACCTGAGTAACTCCACCATCTGTTTGTGCACACCTACTCTTTTGCCTAATATTTGTATGACCTTAGTCCTGAACTTGAAAATGGTGTAATTTTGTAGTCAGGACAAGTATTATAAATAATATCATCAAGTTGCTCAAACTTACAGCAGAGTCACAGACAACAAAAAATCCTCTACTCTCCATATCCAGAGAGCATGCTCCATTGATCTTTCCTCTCAAACATTGTTCTGTTGGTACTTCTCTCTCCATTTCTATACAGATGTTTGGCCTTAGTGACTCTTTAAGATCATTTTGATTTCCTACCTTTTGGATTCTTTAAGTTTCTGTTTCTGTTTTTCTCTAATTGTGTGTTTCTGTCTTTACCTCTTTCTTTATGATTCAGATCGTAAATCTCTGTCAAAAGTAACTTAGATCCAATACTACTTCCTGACATCTCTTGATTAATAACTTCGAGTAGTTTGTTGTCTCTATTAGGCTCAACCATGGACTTATATGAGACATCTTAAAATCTATCCTGTACTCTTTGTTGCACAGGAGGATACAAGCCAAACAATGGTCCAGTGATCTTCCCATCCACTTTCACTTAGAATTCACGGTTCTCTCTACACTCTCTCCTTGAGCATTCAGTATACACTCATCAACTACAGAGTCTGATTCAGGATTGATTCATGGTCCTTCATGTTGCTCTTCCTGGCACCAATGATACTTATGATTCATTCATACACTGTGCATAAGCAATCTACATTGAATGGATAGAGAGAGCAATATTAAATACTAGAAACCCAAAGGTTACAACTCTCTTCAATTTAAAACCCAGGATATGTGACTCCTCCCACACCACAACATACAAAATGATTCAGAACTCACTTGATAAGTTTATTCTGATTATTGATGTCCAAGATTCCATTGTAAATGGTTTAATGGAACACAGGGAATAACAGCCTCAAGCCAAAGTACAGTGCTACCATGGCCTACAATCAATCCTGTGTTGTCCTGAGAAGAGGCAAATTTGTAGCCTGTATTAAAAGCATTATATATATATATATATATATATATATATATATATATGCTTAGTAGGCATAATTGTGGGAAAATGAATTGTAAATGTGTCAAACTCCTAATAAATACACAAAAAAATAAAGAACAAAAGTTATAAATTAAACATTTACTAGGTGGTGCTGGGAGGCAGTACCCTAAGAGAAGACAACAAACAGCCCAGGAAAACAACGCTGGTTGGATATTCTAGATCAGTAATTGGGACAGTAATTGAGACAGCCTTGAAAATGGGGTCAAAACCTGTCTAGGTAAAGACAAGAAAAACAAAGAAGATAGAGCCTGAAGCAGTGGGACCAGTCAGACAAACGACTTCAAAGAGAGCTGTAACACATGTTTGATGAATGGCGGATGCCAATGAGGTTGGAGCAAGAATGTTTAGCAGAAGAAAGGGCAGAGATGTGAGAGGTGTAGAGGAAGCTTGTGTGGAGTCTTAAATAATATTTGGAGGACCTCACCTTTACTTTTGAGTGCCAAGAATTACTTGAGGATTTTTATCAGGATTCATTCCTGCTTCTGTACGTTTCATTTCTTAATTTCTTCTGTCATTTTCCACAAATGAATCTAAAGTCTGACAAAAAAATTAGTGTTGGCGATGAGATTGCAAAGAGGAAAATTGCAATAAAGGAATTAAAGTGTTGCAAGGAAAAGAAATTGTAGTCAAAATGATATATTGGAATTCATGATTTCTGAAGTAGAATGATACCCAGGATAGCAAGAATTCTTTGTCTTTACTAGTGCTTCAAATTGAAAAGTGCATCCAGACACTAACTTGTATTATACACAACCCAAAGTAAAACTCATTTCCTCTCCTCTCCTGTTTTCTTTTCTTTTCTTTTTTCTTTTTTTTTATTTTTATTTTTACTGTAAAAATACTGCACAGAGGGGTTAAAATTACATAGGCAAGATAATGAGTACATTTCTTATCAAACATTGTTGCCTCCTCCTTTGTTTCCCCTTCCTATCCCTTCCCATCCTCCTCCCCCCCACCAAAGTTGTAAAGTTCGTTTTTCCACATAACGACTTGTACAACTCATTGTTGCAATGGATCCACCTGTATCCCTATTTAAACTATTTGTTTTTTTCCTTCCCCTCCACAAATTATACCAATAACGCTTGCTTTCATTGTATTCTTTTTTTTTATTGTGAAAATACCATACAGAGGGGTTACAATTACATGGGCAAGGTAATGAGTGCATTTCTTAGCAAGAATTGTTGCCTCTTCCTTTGTTTCCCCTTCCCATCCCTTCCCATCTCCCACCTCCCAACCACTTCATCCCCCCATACCTGGCCAAAGTTGTAAAGTTCGGTTTTCGACATACGACTTGTACGTGTCTCATTGCAATGGGTTGCAATGGGTCCACCTGTATCCCTATTTAAATGATTTGTTTTTGTCCTTCCCCTCCACAAATTATACCAACATCAAATACAATGAAAGCAGGGGTTATACCGTGGGGGAGGGACATACAAAGCAACAAAGAAATCATCTTATAAATATGTTAGAAACAATCACAAGAAAAGAAAAAAACATTTGAAAACTTATCTTGAGGTTCATTTCACCTAACATCAACTTTTCTGACCTTTTCTGGTTGACTCAGACATATACTAGTTATTGCAAATAAGGGAAACCATGGGACCTAGGTTTCTTTAGGCCTGGCTTACTTCACTTAATATAACTTTTTCCTTTCCATTTCCTAACAAATGGGCAATGTCATTCTTTCTGATGGAGGCATAGAGTTCTGTTGTGTATATATACCACATTCTCTTGAACCATCATCTACTGAGGGGCATCTGGGTTGGTTCCATATCTTAGCTATGGTACATAATGCTGGTATAAGCATAGTTGTGCCGGTAGCTTTAGTATCGTCTTGTTGTGATCGTTTGGGTAAATGCCCAAAAGTGGGATTGTTAGGTCATAGGGGAGCTCTATGTGGAGTCTTTTGAGGAACCACCATACTACTTTCCAAAGTGGTTGAACAAGTTTATACTCCCACCAACAATGCAGTAAGCTTTCCTTCTGTCCATATCCCCTCCAGCAATTAGAATTTTTGATTATAGCCATTCTAACTGGAGTGAGGTGGTATCTCAAAGTTGTTTTGATTTGTATTTCTTTTATGGCTAGGGATGTTGAGCATTTCTTCATGTGTCTATTCACCATCCTTCTTTCCTCTTCAGAGAAGTTTCTCTTTAAGTCTTTAGCCCACTTATTTATTGGGCAGTTGTTTGAGGATTTGTTGTTGGGGGATTTAATTTTTTGAGTTCCAGGTATATTTTAGATATGAGACCCCTGTCTGTTGTATGGCTAGTGAAGATCCTCTCCCAGTCTGTGGGTTTCCTTTTGACCCTGCTAGCTATGTCCTTTGACATGCAGAAGCTCTGAAATTTCATGCAATCCCATTTGTCCAACCTTTCTTTGATTTGTTGTGCTTCTGGATCTCTATTAAGAAAATTTCAGCTTGTTCCAAGGAGACCTAACGTTTCTCCTATTCCATCCTGTAATGTTTTCAGGGTGTCTGCTTTGACTCCAAGGTCTTTGATCCATTTGGAGTTGATTCTGGTGCAGGATGATATATAAGGATCTAGCTTTAGTTTTCTACAAGTGATTAACCAATTTTGCCAGCACCATTTACTGAAGAGGCTCTCCCTCTTCTGTTTTCTTACACTTAACTGGTTTGTAGACTTACTTCAATTGACTTCAACTAAGTACATTTTCTGAGACTATGGAATATAATGGTTAAGATCGTCAATATTCCCACTTAGCCTAGTGTATTATTCATGACATTTTTCTAATCAGTAAAATGCATGTGATTATATTTATCTCATAACAAGTATTTTATGAAATTATTAAGATAAATATTTCTGAAGTGCTCAAAACAATGTATTATTTCATAGTAATAATGACATCAATGATAAAATGGATAATTATGTTTTTGACATGAATTTAAAGTGATTCACAGATTTAGAATGATATGGACCTTACTGTCACAAGATTTTAAGTTATTACTTTATTATAAGCTAACTTATCTGGAAATCAAGAAGTTGGTTGTACGCATATGCTATTTTCTCAGATTATATGCCTTCCATATGATATGTTATGCCTTATGCTATTCATATTTTATATTCATATATGTATATATAAAATTTGGTATAGTATAGATTATGCTTGATTACTTTATTCCATTAATAATAATTACTTTTCTTATACTGATGTTTATTTCTTGTTATAAGGATAATATTTTAGTACTAAATATGTTTGTAATCCTCAGCAGATATTTTTGGAAACAGAATCAACAATATAGATATTTATTTCTTGGATTTCTTGGATGTACTGTAATTTTTCTTCTTTATAAGCTACATGAATTCTCAGGGACCTTGGCCTTGGAGTTAATCTCAAGGTTTGCTTGAACTGACATTTTATTGCTCTTTGTGTTTAAATAAATGATGACTTTTCTGGGTATTTCTACCAAATGTCTTTCCTTACTCTGTCTTCTTACTATATATTAGTTCTTTTTCAAACCTCTTAGTAAGGATTTTTTTTTCTAATCCCTAAAACATGTAAGGACATTAACTACATGACTAGAGACCTAGTATATATATTAAAATTTCTGTTTTGATGAATACACTTGCCACTTGTTTCTTCTTATACACTTTTAGAAAAATGTGATTTACCCAATTTTGATTACAGGTGATAGCACTCATAGGTAATAATAATTTTGCCAAATTTTGGGCCCCATGGGCACCCATACTTTAAATGATCTTATGAACAGAGGCTGGCAGAAAGGTTAATATCCCACCTAAATGAGAAGTTATATAGGAGTTGTCAACATTGGATAACTATGTCAAATGGCAGACTAGAAATTTTAAACACCTCTTGATAGCCTTAAATTTATCGGGGATTTGCCATCTGAGTTATGCCTAGATTTTGTTAATTGGACATCGGGGTTTAAATACTTTTCCTATTTTCCATTGGATGATCAATTACTACATGTAAGAATATCACATTAAAGAACATTGTGAGTTAAATACTTGTTTACAACATTAAGTGATTTTTTTTTGCTGTTATACAGAAGAAAGCATTAAGCATTATTTTGCTAATGCCTCAAACACCTAGAAGAATTCTGGGATAGAGAGAGTTTCTTTAGCTATTCACAAAATTATGTAGGGATTCTGTTATTTAATCCTCTATATTTTTCTTTCACCAACTTACTCTCATATCTTGTAATTTTTATTGAACAATATAACATATATAGTCATCTTCTTCCTAAAGCTTGACAGATATATGCTGTGAGCATTTTAAGTGGTTTTACTTTTAGCTGTGAACCATATATATATATATAGGTATAGATATATATATACACACACACACACACACACACACACACATATATCACAAGTAATGAAAATATGTTGATAAAATGTCAAGCCAAAAAA